TGCCACTTTTCTCATAAGAATGCTGAGAGAACTAAGAAAATGATGTCAGTAAAATCTACTTCTTCATAGATACGTTCTGCATAAATACAGTCTTTTTCTTTAAGGCTATGGATTCAACTGTAAGAGGAATGATTAGTGTCTAACGTTGTCACATATTAACGATGTGGCATAATCAACAAGCCACCAAGTGCTTATTAAATTTTTCTCCTTTTTCCCACTTACTCATAAATTCTTTAAATAACAGTTATCTTTTCCATTACAAAGGCACCATTCACAGATACTTGAGAAAATTATATTGTTAAATGCGCCATAATTATTCATAGATTATGCTTACCCATCTTTATATTCCAGTACCAGCTGTGCAGATATGGTCTGAGTTTTCCTTTTACACTGGGAATGTAAAATACCAACAATATTCTCATTTATTACAGAATTTACAATGTATGTCACTCTGACCCATTTTTTACATAGTTACTAAAAAGAGCTGTGTGATTATCACAGATAAGCGTGATCTTTCTGGGAGGTCTATTATTTTGACTCATCCTTGAGAAAGGTTTTTCAAAGACACGTCTGCAAGAGATGAGGATAGTCTCATTTCCAAAGTATCTACTAGAGCTAATAATAAAAGCGCATTTGTATTCCAAGACTAATTTATCCACACCGTGTGAAATTTCAAAGTCTTGGAGGCCAAGACACAGGCTGTCTCAAATTGAGGGAAGAGAGCTTTGAGGAGCCTGCTGGTCAGTGCTATGAGGGAAAGGAGTCAAGAGCTAGGGATAAAGGTCACAAGAGGACATCAGGAAGGACTAAGGCACTTGAGGTTTGTGCTCTGTCATCAGCAGAAGGGGCTCATACTGTGGATACAGTGTGGACTATGATCAAGCAATAGATATGGGGAAAGTCACAATTGTAACAATTGCTCAATAAATATTTGCCCAGATTTAGGAATGAGTCATATGGGAAAATAGGACATGGAATTTGGACAGGAGGGTGGGGACAAACTTTTCAGTATCCAGAACTGAAAGGAAGCTCCACACAAAGGGAGCACCTGATATGTAACAGTTCATCCAGGCCTGTTCATTCTTTCCTATCCTCAGATTTGCACAATTCTTGATAAGGGAAAGTTTCTCATGAGATTCTTACTGGGGATGTGTGGGGTTATCCTGAGTTCTAAAACTGCTACTTCAACAAATGTGAAATACCTATTTATACTTCTTCTCAAGTTGTTTTTGTAACGATGGAAATGAGGTAAAATGGTTTTTTTGCTTTACAGTCTTTTTTAGTCAAAAGTAAGCACGATTTGACTGAAAATAAATGGGATAGTATACACTTTAACTGAAGAAGGTATAAGTTGGCTTTCTTAATTTTATTGCCTCATTTTCTGGAACTCCTTGTTTTTTGGATGTAAAACTTTCCAGAGTATTGATTTTTATTTTTTTATGTCTCTCTCGTTTTATCTTCTCCCTTCCTCCCTCTTTCCCTTCTTCCTTCTCTCCCTTTCTCCCTTTTTCCCTTTTTCTCTAAAATTAAAAAAAAAAATGGAGAGATTTCTTTACCTTTATTTTCCTACCTTTCTGTTGAGAATTTGATAATATTTTTGATTTCCAAGAGGTTTCAGTGGTTCTCTGATTTATTTTTTATAGACATTTGCTCTCATTTCATAAATGTTAGAGCTTCTCCTAAGTCTATATTATTCAAAGTTTTCTTCTGCTTCTGCTTTACATGAGTTTCTTCTCTCCTTTTTGTTTTGTTTTTTGCAGTGTTTGTTTTTGTCTCATGTTTGAGTCTTTCTTGAGGAAGAGATTGTGTTTAGTATACAGAATTTCATTTAATCTTACCAATTTTTAATAAAGCCCCCTACCCTGCCTCATTTTTGCTTGAAGCAAGAGGTCACAGATTGTCCCAAAGGCTTCTTCCCAGAAACCTTCTCCATTGTCCCAAAGGCTTCTTCCCAGAAACCTTCTCCTCCAAACTTCTAACTACTGCCCTCTCCCATTCTGAGGAAACGGGATTATTATTCCCTCAATTATACCAGATGCCTCATTCCCATCTGCACCCTGGGACCAGTTCTTGCCCTGTAAAGGTGTTTAAAGAACCTCTCCAGGTGAGACAGGCTCAGGTCACACTGTGCTCTGCTGGTGGCTTGACTTATCTGTGTCAAGATGTCACCTGTGATTTATTCCTTGATAAAAGGAAAGCAGGAGCCCTAAGTGATTTTCTGGATGACTGCTGACATTTTTCTCTTGTCTGAGTTGGTCATCTACTTCTTCCCAAGGATGAGATACACATCAATCTCATCAGAAACTTTCAGCTTAGGACTCCCCTTGTGACACGGTCCTTTCTAAAGTTAACCATGGGCCTCCTGTGCTTCATGTCCTCCTATGAGAAATAGTGTCGCTCCACAAATTACTTCACCCCAAATTATTTGTTTTGGCCCCCATAGTTTTTAGCTTTAAAAAAATTCTAAATGCTTTATCCTCAGCATAACATAATAATAGTTATATGAAATCAGATTTCCAAGGTTTTATATTATGTGGAGGCAATCTGTGGACGTACCTTCACCCTAATGCATTCACTCACTTCACACTAGCTGAATCTATCCAAAGTGAAGTAGTCATTTACATAATATGAAAAAATTTATGTGTTCGATAGACAATAAGAAATATAAATTTATAATATTGGTAGTCCAACCCTACTATTTATAGTCGATGGGATAGAAAGACTTCAGTAACTAAAATATTTAGTGGAATTATCTTCAATTTTTTTGTTGTTGTTATTGTCACAATGTATTTACTAATATGCCCTAGAAATAACATCTTTCATTTGGGAGGTGTACTTTATAAATATATGTTGATCAATAAGTGCTTTTTTTATACTTTATCCCAAATATTGTGACATATTCCTCTTAGGGAAGGTCATTGCTACTTTCCCCGCTAACACTCCTCCTGTCGAGAATCACAATTTAATATTCAATTCCTCTTCATTTGCATTTAATATAAATCTTCTGTTATTCATTGAAGTCTTATGAGGTTGAATGTTATCTTAATTCATCGGTGTGCCATCACTTCACCTTAAAGGTATTTATAAAGATTTTATTCACAAGATGCTCTCAAGCTTAGAGTTCAACTACTAGGATTCATTCAACAGATGTTAGGGTCCATTTAACAGATTCGTAGAAATCAGTCACCATTTCACCCACAGTTACATCCAAATAGTTAATTTTGTGAAATGCATCTCTACTGCTTGGAATATCCAGTTTTGCCTTACAGTAAAATTGGGTAGGCTGACCACCTACTAGTAACACATTTGTAAACATACCAGAGGAAGAAACCTACTTTTACTTACATAGCAAATACCTTCTCTTAAAAAGAGGTAACTTTTTAAGATTGGGTCCAAATTGGAGAACTTACCTGAGAATAACAAAAAGTACAAGACCAATGCTGCCTATCTTTTTCTTTTACCCTTAGCCATACTGAGGACAAGCTGGCTTCAGTGCAGCTATGGCACAGACTACAGAGCACATGAGAAAAGAAACAATGGGGCCACCAACAGTCTAAAAGGGAAGGAGCGCTATAGTGAGCGGGAGCATGGACACATGAAGGCTCCAATGAGATTCTTAAACTCTGTGTGTCCAGCAGAAGCTATCAGTGAAGAGATGTTAAGTTCATACAGCTTCTCCTTGAAGAAAAGCAACATCCTAGGATCTAAATAAACAAAAATCCTTCAATTGATTCAGAAGATGCTAACTAAAATCTTAAAGATGTTTCCCGGTGGAAATGTTTTTGTTTATTTTTAAGAATCACACAATCAATCCAGTTCCTTGCATGTTGCAAACCTCTAAGAGATCCCTTTGCACCTGCTGAGTCCTGTATTTTGGAGTGACTGACAGTATCTCATATAATCAATAGAGCATCATTGGATGATTACCAACGGCAAAATAATATATTTGCCATTTTTTAGTTTTTAAAAACTAATGTTTTAAAAATCCAAGTTTAATCATCTTCACCATCTAGATAATAAAATATATATGTGCCTTCCCCCACATGTTTAAATAACCAATATCATAATTAATATTTTTTCCAGAAATAAAATTCTTAAATCTTTATGCAAAGTTTTGAACATACAAATATTTTGTATCCCTAGCTACTATTTTCTTAACTTCTGTTTTTATTTAGAAATATTTGCATTTGACCACAATCTCCTTCACTAAACACTTTTCATCTTTGTCCTTCTTTGATTTGAAATCCACAGCTAACATAATTTCTTAGTTCTCTGTGCTTGATACCGATTTTAAAAGGTCTGTTTATTTTGAATCAGCTTACAATGCCTTAGAAACAAGCAAGAAAAGAAAAAGTAAGAGGGGGTAGTAAGGAGGAAGAAAGAAAAAATTATTCGGTTATGAACTGTTGACTTTTTCTATGGTTTGTTTAAATGTCTAGTCTTAAAGGGGGAATGATGGAATCCTGCTCTTTGAACCAGCCATTAGGAGGTGCTCATAGTTTGGAACAAACTCTTCAAACCTTTAAGGCTTGTCTAGTTTTTCTGTTCTGCAGAACTTATCTTTAATTTTAGAAATTTTCCTTCACTTGAACATACCACTTGTAAAAATTGTCTAGCTGACAGCTCTGGGAACCAAAGTCATCCAATTAGTCCAAAAAACAAATGTTTTTTGGCATCTATCACCACAGAACACCAACAGGCCCTCAGACAAACATATCAGGTTAAAAGAAAAGCATGTATTTGAGAAGGAAAACCTTGGCTATTTTCCCTTCAGAGAGAAGGGGTTGATATTAATTGGTGTAAGGCAGTGGTCTTCCAGAAGTGTTTCCAAGGGCTACATCTAATTTTGTAAAGTAAAAGGGCATATTTATATTCTGAATATGCCTACAGAGTAGAGTGTATTTTCATAAAGAAGTCTCATAGCTGTTTATTGTAGACACATTCATAGTGTTAATTTTCATTTTTATTTTACAATTATTGCTTTTCATTTGTTATAATAGACCCAGACTGGCAACTTGACAAGCCATTGGCCCAGTGTGGACATGCTTGGAGCAAAGAAGACTGAAGGACAAGTATGCGCTATCCTTTGGTAGGTTCATATTGGCCCCTAAAGCACTGTTTGGAAGAGAGTAAACAATGTTAGCTTACTTATTTGTAATAGAAGTTATTGTTAAGGAGTTAGAGGTGTTTCTACAAATAGTACAAGTATGAAATACTATGTGTGAATTACTTAACTGATTTAATCATGGCCTCTATAATCTTGTGCCATTTATCAAGTTCAGTGCGAAAATCAAATATAGACATTAAATTTTAATTTAAAAATTTCCATATAAAAGGAAATCAATGCACAAAATTTCAAAATTATATGCCTGAGAAAACAGAAGCTAACTTTATTTTATTTTATTTATTTTTATGTATTTATTTATTTTTTTGAGACAGAGTCTTGCTCTGCTGCCCAGGCTGGAGTGCATTGGCACGATCTCAGCTCATTGCAACCTCTGCCTCCCAGGTTCAAGTGATTCTCATGCCTCAGCCTTCCCAGTAGCTGGTACTACAGGCACCCACCACCATGCCCAACTAATGTTTTTGTATTTTTAGTAGAGACAGGGTTTCACCATGGTGGTCAGGCTGGTGGGGAGCTCCTGACCTCAAATGATCCACCCCCTCCTGCCTCGGCCTCCGAAAGTGTTGGGATTACAGGCGTGAGCCACAGTGCCCAGCCTAACTTTAGAACAATTATTATTACTTGGGATCAACTCCTAGCAAATGGGAAAGCTTTTCTTATTTCATATCATGGGCACTCAACTCATAGTGTCTTAGGTCCAAGCATTTCCCAGGCCTAAGAACGGTATTAGACCCGCACTGCATAATGTTGATTATGACACCTACTGGCAGCACAGGATTTTGCACCCTAGTTCCATAAGACACTGACGCCCCTTGTTATCTAAAATAAAGATATTTGAAATCTGTATTCTTTTTTTGCCTTTGTCTTTTTTTTTTAATTGTACTTTAAGTTCTGGGGTACATGTGCGATCTTGCAGGATTGTTGCATAGGTACACACATGCCATGGTGGTTTGCTGTCTCCATCCCCCCCATCACCTACATAAGGCATTTCTCCCAGTGTTATCCATCCCCAACCTCCCTGGCCCCTGCTGTCCCTCCCCTAGCCCTGCAACCCCCAACAGAACCCAGTGTGTGATGTTCCCCATCCCCGTGCCCATGTGTTCTCATTGTTTAACACCCGCCTATGAGTGAGAACATGCAGTGTTTGGTTTTCTCTTCTTGTGTCAGTTTGCTGAGAATGATGGTTTCCAAATTCATCCATGTCCCTACAAAGGACAGGAACTCATCATTTTTTATGGCTGCATAATATTCCATGGTGTATACGTGCCACATTTCCTTTGTCCAGTCTATCATTGATGGGCATTTGGGTTGGTTCCAGGTCTTTGCTTTTGTAAACAGTGCTGCAATGACATATGTATGCATGTGTCTTTATAATAGAATGATTTATAATCCCTTGGGTATATACCCAGTAATGGGATTGCTGGGTCAAATGGAATTTCTATTTCTAGGTCCTTGAGGAATTGCCACACTGTCTTCCACAATGGTTGAACTAATTTACACTCTCACCAACAGTGTAAAAGTGTTCCTATTTCTCCAGCATCTGTTGTCTCCAGATTTTGTAATGATTGCCATTCTAACTGGCGTGAGATGGTATCTCAATGTAGTTTTGATTTGCAAATATTAACCAATTTGTTATCTCGTTCTTCTTTTAATCCAAGTTGGTCTTATTTTCTTTTTCTAAGATTTAGTATGTTTTCATTCTTTAAAACATGTAGAAAAATATTTATACTTATGAATTCACTTTTATGCACCAATTTTGCTTTGATGTCTTTATTAACTTTTTTCTCCTCCTGAGTCCAATAGTTACTTTAAAAGATTTGTTTTCATTTTCAAGTGGTATAATCTTGTTTCTAGTAACAGAAAAATTTGTATTTTACATTCAGTTGTTGTCAGTTAATATTTTACATTCAATCCTTGTCAGTTAATATGGTGTATGATTTCAGTTTCTTTGGATTACCGACTTTGTTTTGGGTCTGATACCAATTTTCATTCATGCTTCTTGCATATTTTACATGAAGGAAGTTACTGGTGATGTCAAGAACTATAGCAAATTGAAATTTTATCCTACTTAACAAGCTAGCTTTCATGGTTGTATGGAAGATAAACAATTAGTGCGTCAGAGACAATGAATTTTATTATTCACAGTAATAGCAGTAGCTAGAGTGTCATCATTTTTTTGTCAGTTCCCCATGCCCCAATTCACACAGGATGAGTGAGGAGAGCCAGATGATAACAACACACAAAATGGATGCATTACAAGAGAAGAATCCTAAACTTAGGGCATCTGATTCTTTTATAAAAGGCAGTAGGCATGCCTGCCTTTTTTTTCCTGGAAGGAGATGTCTTCATTGTGCTGGGCTGCAAGCATGTCCGACATTTGCTTTGGAGGGAGACAATCTTCATCTTCCTGGACTATAAGCAAACCAGCTCTTTGCTCCAGAGGGAGACACTATCTCTTTACTCCCAGGTAATTATCTATGCAAACGTCCTAGAAAAGGCTTTCTGGAACAAAGGCATCTAGTGCCTGTGTTTGCAAGATGTGCAGAAATGCCAGACACCCATGGATAATTTTCTTTTGAGATATGACTAGAGGTTAAATTTTTATGTATATTAGTTCTACCTTGATCAAACTCTTTAAAATTGTTTTTGTCAACTCAATATAGACATAAAGACAGAGATGTTCGCCATGTGTAACTATCTATCTCTGCCTCTATCTATCAATCTACATATAGAGAATGTTGCTATGTTTAACAGTGTAGATAGATGATAGATAGATAATAGTTAAATGATAAGGTTATATGTTTAAAATGTTATTCCTTATATTCTTAATAATTTTATGTATTTTATTTTATTTATTTATTTTTATTTATTTATATTTTTTTTGAGACAGAGTTTCACTCTTGTTACCCAGGCTGGAGTGCAATGGCGCGATCTCGGCTCACCGCAACCTCCGCCTCCTGGGTTCAGGCAATTCTCCTGCCTCAACCTCCTCAATAGCTGGGATTACAGGCACGCGCCACCATGCCCAGCTAATGTTTTATATTTTTAGTAGAGACGGGGTTTCACCATGTTGACCAGGATGGTCTCGATCTCTTGACCTCGTGATCCACCCGCCTCGGCCTCCCAAAGTGCTGGGATTACAGGCTTGAGCCACCGCGCCTGGCCAATTTTATGTATTTTAAACTATTCAATTTTAGAAATTCAATATTATTTCTTTTACTGTTTGTAATTTTGTCAATATATAATAACTCTTTTTAGTCCCATTTGCGTGAGTTGTCACCTCTTTATTGTTCTTTAAATCTCTTTCTTAAAAGTAATAAATTATCAGATTGTTTTCATTCAATCTGATACATTTCATCTTTTTAATAGAAGAGCATGAATTATATTCATTAATTATTTGGGCCTGACATATCATTTTTGTTGTTGGGCGTTTGTTTTTTTGTTTTTCTTTGAGCAAGGTTTCTTTCTGTTACCCAGGCAGAACTGCAGCGGCAGGATTACTGCTCACTGCAGCCTTGACCTCCAAGGCTCAAGCGATCCTCCTACCTCAGCCTCCAAGTAGCTGGGACTACAGGTGGGCACCACCATGCCTGGCTAATTTTTGTGTTCTTTGTAGAGATAGGGTTTTGCCATGGTGCCGAAGCTGGGCTTGAACTCTTGTGCTCAATCTGTTTACCCACCTCAACCTCTCAAACTACTGAGATTACAGACCTGAGCCATTCTTCCCAGCCTGTTGTCTGTTTTTCTTTTTGTTTCCTCACCAGTTGGCCTGTCTTCTCTAGGCTGTTGTGTTTACTTTGTCTTCTCATTACTTTAGAACACAGACATCCAGTGTTTAATTCTGTTCATGGTTATCTCATAATTATTAAGATATTTTTATAACTATTTGTTTATTAAAATAGCAACAAGAAGATTCTTGTTTATTAATTGTACTTCCTTTACCATATCTTTCTCAGTCTTTAGTAATTAATCTGGTTACATAAACTTTGTCATTAATGTATCTATACCTATTTCACTTTTCAAGAAATTGGAGTTTTTAAGTGGTTGTATTTGTATTACCCTAATAATGCCAATTATTTTGAGTTTTCAGCATTAGTTTTATTGTCTGTAGTCATATTTTACAGTGGCTGTAGGAACGCTACTGTCACATGTTGAAGGCCAAGAAAGTTGTTCCTAAATTCTCTAGTTTCTTTGTGCTTTAGAGCTAAGGTAGAAGTGAATCAGAATTCCACTGAATCTGGGCAGCCACCCCAAGTGAGTAAAATTAACCCCTCCATACACAGTAGGCAGAATGATGAGGAAAAAGGCTGGGTGCAGTGGCTCACGCTTGTAATCCCAGCACTTTGGGTGACCAAGTCTGGTGGATCACTTGAGGTCAGGGGTTCGAGACCAGCGCGGCCAACATGGCGAAACCCCATCTCTACTAAAAATACAAAAATTGTCCAGGTGGTTTGGTGCTTGCCTGTAACCCAAGCTACTTGGAAGACTGAGGCAGGAGAATCGCTTGAACCTGGGAGGTGGAGGTTGCAGTGAGCTGAGATTGCACCACTGCACTCCAGCCTGAGCAACAGAGTGAGACTCTATCTCAAAAAAAAAAAAAAAAAAAAAAGTTGCTTTCTGCAGATGTGAATTCATGACATGCTTCCAAGAATCTTAGGAATAATCTTTTCTTTTCCCCTTATCCAAAGCTTCTATTGGGAACAGTGTATGTTTCTATTCCCTGTTCCCTTCTTTTTCCCTCTCTTACTTCCTTGAATCTCCAGAACTGTCTTATGCACCACAGGCCTCTAACTTTATAGTCTAATATGTCTAGTTTTGAAAGTAAGCCAAAATGCATGAGGATATTTATCTACGTCTTCACGGGCTGCCAGAACAAAATACCATTGACTGGGTGGCTTAAACAACAGAAATTTCTTTTCTCACAGTTCTGGAGGCTTAAAGTCTGAGAATGGGGTGCCAGCATGGTAGAGTTCTGGTGAGGGCCCTCCTCCTAGCTTGCAGATGGTGACCTTTCTTCTGTGTGCTTCCATGGCATTTTCATGATATAAGGGTGTAGATCTCTGTGTCTTCTCATAAGGTTACAATTCTACTGGATTAGGACTCCACCCTTACAACCTAATTTAAACATACTTAGCCCCTAAAAACACTATCTCCAAATACAGTCACATTAGAAACAGGGCTTCAACATGGGAATTTTGGAGGCATGCATAGCAGTGCTATAACCCTTGAGGACTTCATTTACGCTATAACCTAGGCCAAAAAGCACATCCCACTTTTCCTTAAATAGACAACTTGCCTTCATCTGTCAAGACTAGTTCGAGGATCATCCCTGCCAAGAAGCCTTGATTGAATCCTTAGATGAAGCTACAAGCTCTGGAGCTACATGGTCCCTTCCTGCCTGTGAAGAGCTTTCTCTCATCTATTAATGTTTGACTCTCTCAATTTACCGTATGTTGATTTCAAGAGCAGAGCTGGTTTCTTACCTACTTTGAGACTCCTAGTGCCTTGGGCAGTAACTGGCTCAGAACAAGCCTTGTCAATGTTGGAGAAACTGAAAGCGCAGAAACAAGATCGTCTGTGTTGAACGAGGCACCTGGAAATCTTAGGCAGACCAGAGGAGAAAAGGTTGTTGAAGAGGGAGGGAGTGGTACTGGCGAGGACAGAGACCTGTCTTTGGTGATGGAAATCTGGATCTTACTGCATGACCACTAGGGCTTTTCAGGCCACTGACAGAGGACTCCCAAGTTTGTACCAGTTGATTTCAGCCCGAGCCTCTTTCAGAAATGCACATTTTGTGAATTAGTAAAAATTTGCCACAAAGGGAACTCATTTGCCATCTGACATCTGGGAAATTCTGCTATGTAGCTAACTTGCACAGAAGACATATACTTCATAATGTGGTAGAAATCAATATAACAAAATTGTCAGGGATCCTTAGAGAATAACATTAATCTCCTCATGCGATATTTTTTCATAAAATCTCTTAGCAGTAAAGACAAGGCCTCATGGTGGTAAGCATGTCCTTTAAAAATTAAATGAGGATCAGTGACCCTTGAGTTTGGTTAGAAAATAATAATATATTTTAAAGTCTACTATGATCAAAAAGATTTGAGAACATAACAATGAAAACATTGCCACCAACCTAATTATTTCCACCATTGTTTTGCCTGGTATTCACATACGTCAGAGGAAAGGGGAAAGTTTTGAGGGTCAGATCTCTAAGCCAGACTCTTTTCTCTCTTTCACGGACATACTGAACCCAAACTACATGCTCTTTTCTGATCGACAGCCTTTGATTAACAGATTTTCACAAGATGCTAAACATTTGGGGTGAAATGAAATGTTCTTGTATTCATTTAACAGAACTGCTCTTTTAGTTGGTTTGCAAAGATTTATTTTTGAAATCTGAACTGCCTGCTTTTTTTGAACTTCTTGCTAATTTCCCCATTAGAAGCTCATGGTATTGTTCTTTTTAACACCACCTTCTCTGCCTTGTCTGTAGTGCATTCCTGCTTTCCTGGCTCCTGCTATGACCTCTCTGGGAAGCTCTCCTCACCTATCCTGGGTTTCCACCAATTCTGTGGTCACCAGGTCTCTTCCCCAGTATTGGGAGTCTAGCAGTGGAGTTGTGGTGTGTCAGGAGGCACAGCACCAGCACCCTCCTCACACTCTTACTTTGTGATCATCTCCTTTACCTAATCCATTCCAGCTCCATTTCTGAGCAACGTAAAGCTAAAAACAGCCAAGCTTTTTCTCACTGGCAGAGTCTGAAGAAGGCTTTATCTTACCAAGCCCTGCTAGGTTTTGTTTTGTTTTGTTTTCCTTGAGGGCTTCAGGCTCAACTTGGTGGCTCATACCTGTAATTCCAGCACTTTGGGAGGCTCAAGCAGGAGGATCAATTGAACCCAAGAATTCAAGGCCAACCTGGGCAATATAGCAAGAAAAAAAAGAAGACTTGAAGACATAGGTAGTTTTCAAATAAATTATCACAATCTTTTTAGAATACACACAGTCCTTGGTTTAGGATAGTTTGACTCAGTTTTTTTTGACTTGACAATGGTGCAAAAGAGATATGCATTTAGTAGAAGCTATACTTTCAATATCCGTACAATCATTCTGTTTTTTCACTTTCAGTGCAATATTTAATCAATTACATAAAGTATTCAATGATATTTTATAATAAATTAGCTTTGTGTTAGATAATTTTGCCCAACTGCTCACTAATGTAAATGTTCACTTTTAAGGTAGGCTAGGATAAGCTATGATGTTCAATAGGTTAGATGTATTAAGTGCATTTTTGGCTTACAATATTTTCTACTCACAGTGGGTTTATTGGGATGTAACCCCATCATAAGTCAAGGAGCATCTGTATAATTTTGTACTTTTATGTTTCCATTTACTTCTATAATTAACTAAAGAAAATAACTGTTTAAGAAAGGGAAAGATGTATTTGTCTACCTTATAAAGACATTTTTATTAAATCAATCTATTAATCTATGAATTGCTAAATAATCCTGTGTATAGTGTAATTTATGATTAACAAGATTAAATGAGATTTTCTAGGACTGGTGAATCTACTGAATGTGGTGATTGCCACTTTTTAAATTTAAGTAAATTATTTTGCTGTAGTGTTTTTTTTCTTAAAGCTGAAATACTAAATAAATATAAAGGCATTTGGGTCAGAAGCTGCTCTGATTCAGACAGCAATTTAAGCTACAAAATGAAATGGTTTTTGTTGACATAGAAGAGTTACAATTTTGCTTTTGGTTTTGTAAATAAAAAGCTACCAATTTCTCCAAAGTTCTTGTCACAGTATTAGTTACATGTTGCTATTCTCTTAAAACCCATCAGAGAAATAATTTTAATTGTTTTTTTAAATAGTGGATTAACAAAAAGATTCAGGCCCAGGCAAGCATTCTTTTCTGTATTGCTATAGTAATGACAAAAGTCTAGAGTATTTAGAAATATTTGAAACTATGAATGGATGCCCTGGAAAAATTACCTTCATTGACAACTGAGTTAATTATAGTACTGTTATTCAAAGCTCTATTATTTGGCTGTAAAAATCATTGTAGGTTAAAAATGGACTCACATTAGCTTCCCTGTAGGTATAGTATTTTACTTTCTTTAAAAAAGACTTGATTCTTTTCCAAACCCAATGATACAAATACTCAAAAAAATAGTACACTCAAAAGAGTTATTCTGTGACATGAAATCTGAGGTTAATATTTTAGATACTGTAATATTTTTATTTGAAATTTTAGAAAACAACTCTGTAGAATTAGCTTGCCCATAAGAGAAATATATTAGCTATGGATAGTTGAATGTACATTTAATAAATTTTATTGTGAAAAGAATTCTGGCTAATCTGTTTCTTTCGTTTTCTATGCAGCTCTCTGGGAGGCCAGAATGTGACTATCATGGAGCCCTTCGATTCTAACAGAGATCCTTTCTCTATAACTAATTCAACGCATGGCTATATGGGTAATTTTGAACAAGTGGATCTTTCTCCAACCTGAAAGGCTGCCAGGACAAAAAGGGAGTGAGAAAAAGAGGGTTTCAAAAGGAGTCATAGAGAACCACAAAATAATCACGAAGCACTTCTGTATTGCCACAATCTCCTTACAGAAGTGCATTGAGAGGTGGTGATATGGAACAGAGAGGACATATCATTGCAATAAAATACTCTATAATACCTGGGACAAGAGTTGGAAATGATTTTGTCATCAAATAGAACACCAAAACTGAAGGAAGTAGGACTATGTCTGCTGGTAAGGAATTTTTAAAGAATTATTATAGCTCCCCTCATTATTTTTCAAATATTCACATTGCAGTGTAATATGAAATATTAGAAATATAAGACTAGAAATATAAAGTAGAAACTGCCATTTCAACTTTCATGTATCACATTTAATGAAAAAAACCTTTTAGTCAAATATTACATTATACAAGTGTATAAATTATGATTAGTTACTGTGAATTTAGATATGACTATTTTATTGAATCCAATGTGTCAGAATAACTTATTAAAGAGGGCTCAATTTATCAGACCTGTAAAATTCTCACAAATGGAATACATTCTGAGTTATAGCATAGTAGTAATACTGCAGTAAGTGGAAGGAAGTTTTGATTTTGCAAATGGCAATGGAAATCCTTTCATAGTACCCATGAAATGAAAACAATCTCAATAAATTAAAATAGTTTAAAATATGTTTAAAATATGTAATATCTGTTAAATTTCAGTTAAAAAGGAAACCAAACAAGTAATAACTGGGAATATGGCAAGGAGTGATTCCTGGGAGTAAAAGAAACCTTATTTATGACAGGGCCAGGTGAGACACAGGGTAACTTGTTTCTGAGTCCAGACATGTGGTCCTACATTGCTTAAATATTCCTTATCAGAGAGAAAATTGATACTAGATCCTGGAGCCTGGCTGAGCCCACAAATGGGGATCCAGTGGGGGTACATTGCCAGGAGATGGAATTCTGTAACAAAAGCTCTACAATTTTAATATGTGTCTCTTTATGTTGTCAGTTAGGCTGTGTCATGGGTGTAAGTGATATGTTAGAAATAAGGTTTAATACAAGAGGCAAGACCAGGTCAGGGATGGTTTGGAATTCATTCATTCATTTTCAAGCTTTGTACATGTAGATTTTAGAGTAAAAAATTATCTACACATTAAGTTGAAAAGAGATACCTATTGAAAGAACCCAAAGAGGAAAGTCATGTTAGAGGGGTATTTTATGAGAATTTTTCAGTTGCAGAATGATTTTGGTGATTAGAATCAGGGAGTACACTCAGGAAACTTATGGTGTTTCCCATTCAGGTGTGGCATGATAATACCTTGAAATTTTAACTAATTTGTTTGCTTTTCTACACATTCTTCTTCATCCTTCTCTATTCAGTCAGAGGTTTTCAGGAAAATTAGGATGATTAAGACAGGATTGCAAAGAACTAGTCAATGATAAATTTTTAAGATGTAAAACAGATTTTGAAACTTGTTAAGAATCAATATTCTTAAAAATTAATGGGGTTTGAATGACAAGCATGGTCATTCCTAGAGAGAAAAAAAGGATTTGTACAAAAACGCAGGGGTCTTTTCAAAAGTGGTAGGTTTAGAAGTCTATGTGTAGGCTGGGTGCAGTGGCTCACGCCTGTAATCCCAAAACTTTGGGAGGCCGAGGCAGGAGGATCACTTGAGTTCAGGAGTTTGAGACCAGCCTGATGAACATTGTGAAACTCCATCTCCACTAAAAATACAAAAATTAGCTGGGCATGGTGGCAGGCACCTATAATCCCAGTTACTTGGGAGGCTGAGGCAGGAGAATCACTTGAACCTGGGAAGCAGAGGCGGCAGTGAGCCGAAGCAGCCTGGACGACAGAGCAAGAACTCCATCTCAAAAACAACAATAACAACAACAACAAAGTCTATGTGTCATAAGTAATGGCTCAGGGGCCTGAAAACTGGACCTATCACCCTGCCCAGTACTAATATCAATTTCTGATAAGTAAAGATGATTGAAACTCCATGTAGTTGGGAGGTTGTGAGAGAAAATATGCATTACCCAGGCTCCAGTCAATAGCAGAAAGAATCCAAGCCTTTAGGGAAAGTCTGTGTTGGTCATGGAATGTAGACAGTAAAGTAGAAGGGGCTAGAAAAGAGCATCCAGAATGTCCTCTGAGCAGGCACAAGAGAGTGGGAAACCAGGCACTGTGGTCAGGCTAAGGAGAGAGCAGATGACCACAGAGATGGCTGCTGAGCAGGAGGGGACATTCTCGCCATGGATAGGATGAGTTGGGAGCCACGAAACCAAAGCTCAGCAATGCCAGTACATCGCCTCAGAAACCAAGGTGGGTGGAGGCTGATGCCTTCAGACCAGTGCTTCTCGAAGGCATCATAATCACTTGGAAGCCTTATGAAAGCACAGATTACTGGGCCCTCAGCCAGAGTTTCTGATTCAATGGGTCTGGAGTGGAGCCTGAGGATTTGCATTTTTAACAATTTCTTGGGCAGTTCTGACATTGCTGGCCAAGGAGCTCACTTTGAAAAGCACTGTTCTAGACCAAATAGTCCAAGATGTTACCCACAGCCTGCTTGCCACCTTTCTGCACACATACCCAAAACTTAGATGGCCCCTGGACAGAAGTGAGAGAGGAGGAGAAAACACATCCTGATAGCCTGAGAAGTCACCCAAAATAGACTGCGCTTACTCCCAAAAGTGTTCAGTAATCACCAGTTTGAGTGAGTGAATCTTGAGGGCCACAAAAATTTACCAACAGCAGAAATCAGGGCTCAAGGGCTAAATTCAGTACAGTTGAAGAGAAAGAAATTGATCAGGTACACACCTAAGTCTTATTTATTACTATGAAAATAAGTATCCCATCTGTACTAAATTCAGTACCGTTTGTACTAAATATTAGAACAAACACTGAACTAAATTTAAATACAAGTTTGGGACTCCAGGAAAGGAAACACCCCTAAAGGATGTTTTTGTCCTTTGTTACACTAAATCTTTCTCATAAAAATTTTGCACTTTTTAGTTTTTTGTAGAGGCAGGGTCCTGCTGTGTTGCCCAGACTGATTTCAAACTACTGGCCTCAAGAGATTCTCCCACCTCGGGCTTTCAAAGTGCTGGGATTACAGATGTGAGCCAATGCACCTGGCAGCATTGTGCTTTTTAACCTGCCTAGAAGTAAGATGTTGCTATAGCCCCAGTGCCACCATTGTACTACTCAGCCTCGGGGCCTCCTCAAAGAACAGAGAAAGCAGGAGCTATGTCTGAGTGAATAGCCCTTCTGAGAACTATGAGAAGGCAGAACATCTGTGTGCTTGGGAACACTACTCCCACATTCCCAGTTCTCCATCTGGGCCCCTGCACGAACAGACTTACTGCCCCTTTTATGACTCGCTCAGGGGCCTCACGCACCCACAGCAAATAACAATGTTCAGTCTCCAGTGAAGTGGGAACCTCTCTGTTCAAGGGTCCAGTGTAAAAAGTAAGAGCTTGTCAGATGGCATCTTTACTTAGACAGCTGGTAGGGTTTGGCTCTTCAATTTTGCACTGGTTTGGCCCAAAATTGAATTGTGCATTTTTGCTTTTTGCATTTTCCCTATGCTGACAAGATCTATGTCAGTAATTTATAACTCTCACCAAAGCTGAGTGCACATTTATGAGACTTAGCTGAAATGAATCTATTATGTGTTACCTAATGTCCCTACATCTTTCAGCCTCTTGAAGCCAACTGTTTCTTTGATACATGAGCCTCCAAACCAAGTAATTGATGGAAGATCAATGGCTTCCTCACTATTCTAGGGATTCTTCAGTGTGTGCAGAGTATATATGCCTAATAGATGGTATTATCTATGCTTCTGACTCTGAACTCCAGATCACGGCCCCCACATATGTTGCTGTTTTATATGTGCACTGCCATTCTCTACTCCTCACACTTGATCCAAAGCACAGACAGAACATCTTGTAGACATTTTTAAAACCACCACTAACCCATTCAGTTTATCCATTTTTATAGCACTGAAAAAAATCAGCTTAGTTTACTGTTGTAATTTCTACAATGTATGGAGATTTTCTAAAATAGCTAATGAGCTATGGTCGCCCCCAGAAGGAATAAGCCACTTGCTCCTACCTATTAGCATCAGATGTCATCATTTCTAAGTCGTGGGGATTCCCTTCATGAGAGCGGCCTTTATTCTGAGGGCCTGGCCTTGTACCTTGGGATTGACTCCTGCTCTGACTGTCTCTATTAGGTCCTTCTGTGACATCTCTTTCCTCCAAATTCAGGGACTTTTCTAAATATTTTATCCCTTGAGCTACCAAAATAAAATGGAAAATGGATTTTCAAAAACCAGAATAATTTAGCTTACTTTATCTCCTGTTAGTACCCAAGCACCTTATTTCAGTGTTTTCTCAAACAAAAGAGACACATATGTTGGATACGATTCATCAGAGATTGAAAGAAACCTATGCAGACCATCTTCCATCTTGAAAAGTGAAATCTGTCACAGTCATCAATGCAGTGGATCAGCAAAATAGCCCATGAGATGGCTGAATAATCAATCCCTGTAGATTAGATTATGACAGAGGGGAAGACAGTTGACCTAGTCCTGAGGTGAGTTAAAGTGAAGATATACTGTTGTCCTAATGAGGGGAAATCAAAGATCTTCACTCTATTTTTTTCCTAACAGCATATAGAAAAAGCATTAGCCTAATCAATATCTATATAATGATCTCAGTGATATGTTAACTAGTTTCAAAAAAAAAAAAAAAAAAGAGACCACATCAGCATAGTGGCTACAATTAGAGTTATTTCCTAATTATGTTTGTAATAATCCATCATCTTTCTTTAAGGCCATCTATTTTCAGCCTGGTAAAATAGTTAAATGTGGGTATGACAAGAAACTTACATCTGCACACCTCCAGTCTTTTTTTGGTGGCACTAATTTGTGTCATTCCCAATTTAGTTCACTATTTGGAGGAAAGAGGCAGGTTGAGGGGCTAAGAAGCATCCCTTTCTAGTATCTCATGTGTTAAAAACCAAATATGGCTATTCTGGCATTTGGCAGAGTATATTTTTGCCCACGGTGTACATTAGAAAAGTGAGGAAATCATCTCATTTTATAAAATGCACAGTCACCCTGGTTGAGGACCGTAGGTTCCTCTGAGGAATCTCTAGGGTTGTTTAGAATGTATTATTTTGGCAAAGATAAAGAAGTACAGGGTACTTCTTCAAAGGAACCTTGCATACTTTTCATTCCAGGGCTCTGAATCTGGAAATTAGTAAAAAGCCATAATTCTTTATTGTGCTCAAACTCTAGTAATGGGAACTATGATGTTTCAAATTATGAAAACCAAGTAGCTAATAGGCAGCACTTCCATTCAGGACAGGAGATGCTATGATCTATTAGCCATCACCAGTGACTCCTGAGGCATAAGCCATTTTGATCCCTGCTTTAACCTGCTGCCCACATTGGAAATGATGCCCACCTTGTTTCTGGCTTTCACACTAAAGTGCAGTCACTTGGTTTCTGCCACTCTCCACAATCCTATTATCCTCACTGAATTTTGAAAGCCCATTTCAATGGGGGTAGCTCCCTGTAGTTGACCTTGGCCGCCTCAGTGTATTCCCTAGTGCTTTGGTGGAGGGAGGTTCTCTGGGCCTTCCCAGGTAACATAGTGAGGGGATGTAAAGCAGGTCACAGATGACACATCAACACTAGACTTCTGTCTTTTTTCATGTACTTTCCTCTACATTACTTCCTGGAAGTTCTGACACCTCAATTTTACTTAGCCTTGACCACCATGGAGTCCAGGTTTCGGTCTACCGAACACCTAATCTGGTGAGCCACAACCATATACTCAAGTATCACACATTTTGAATCCAGAATATCTGAAAAGTGCAATTACATTAATAAATGTGGCTTAATACAAGCCTTTTTTTTTCCGGGCCTAGGATCCTTAAAATCCAGTCCTATCATTCCTTGCCAAGTTTCTGCAAACACAAATTAGCAAAACCATTCAATTCTTTGTGTGTGTAAACCATCTCCTCCCAAGTCAGTCTTTGTACCCATCCTCCTGTGATTTGATTCTAGAAATGGGTCTGGCAGCAAGACAAGGCGATGGAACAAATCTTGTGGAGAATCAGTAATACTAAGAAAGGTAAATGCTTGAAGTATGGCTCTTACAGATGCTTCAGATGGGTCAAGAAGGGTTTCTTCTACTTACAAGGAGAGTCAGTGAAATTTGGAGGTTCAGATCCATCAGAATCCACCCCAAAGTCCCCACTTTTTCTCAATAAATGCCTCAGCTTTTAAATAAGATACCAAGACTATAAATTAAATGTGCATTTTAATTCTGCAATATGCAACATCAGACTTTGAGTCTAGTTTTCAAATATGTTGGTCTCATATTTGGCTATGAAAGTATACATTTTAGGAAGTTCTTTTGCTTCTTATCTTGTCTTGAGCTCAAAATTTAGAACCCTGAGCTTTTTAAGTCACCTTTGTTAGAAAGAAGTGGTGCAGTTAGAAATAGTCTACCACAGAGTCCTCATGGTTATTTATAATAGAATGTTTTATTATAGCAGCCTATTTCCCAAATCCTTGTCTTTAATATATCCTTTATTTTAAAATTATATTAAATTATGTATTTACATTGATAAAAATTTTT